CTAGTAAGTGTCGAAGTTGACCATCTCGTCTCTACTTCTTCGAGATTAGACGGGATACTCATTGAGTACACGTTGTTTTCGTACTCATACTACACTTCTGTGCATTGTTGTTGCACAGGTATATTTATCTCTAGCAGCCCACTGGGCATAGCAGCACGGATGATTCGGGGACTAGGTGAGTTGCATTGTTCGAGGCGGCCCGCAGCTAGTGAAGTCCCTTCCAGTAAATTGTATTTTCTTTTTGTCCACTGTATTCCGGACGGATGTTGTATTGTATTTTATTTTCCTTATCAGTAGATGCTCATGCATTTGTGACACCGGGTTCTGGGATGATTTTTAAATATTTTTGTATTGCTAGTATTTAATTTGAATTGAAGCAGTTATCTTTTCACTTATGAAATTTAAAGGAAAAATCTTGGTTTTCAAAATTGTTAAAATTGGAGTTTAATTAAGTATTTGGTTGGCTTGCCTGACAGCGGTGTCCGGCGCCATGACGACCCTCAATGGATTTTGGGTCGTGACAGGAATTATATACATGTTTTTCCAAAATAAAGTTGGAAAATATGTTTTGAAAACGTATGTCCAAACACATTTTCATCTTCAAACCAAACTTCAGCCAAATCAGATTTTTCAAAATAAATTTGGGATCTATGGCCAAACGCTAGCTAATAATATACATGTTTTTCCAAAATAAATTTTGAAAATATATTTTGAAAACGGATGTCCAAACACATTTTCATTTTCAAACCAAAATTCACTCAAATCAAATTTTTCAAAACAAATTTGGGAATCTATGGCCAAACGCTAGCTAAATAAGTTGTTGATAAGCTTGTAAGAATATTGGAGCCAAGGCTGAGAGGCGAACAAAAGAACTCAAACTATAGAATAGCAGCATTACACTTTCGTAGTGAAAGTTCTCAGCAATGGATTGCGAAAGAGAAGTATACAATATAGCGAAAATTCTATGGTATGGCCGCTCCCAAAAATAATAGCTGGCATAATTTTTCTTATATATACGAATATTTCATATAACTTCTTATATATTTAGCTAGCGAATGTAATTATTTTTTATTGATCGGCTAAATATGTAAGGGAATCTTACAGAAATATTCCAAATAAGTTCCAGCTTACCAACCTCTAGCCACTAAACATAGATTTACCAAAACTAAGCAAACACATATAAAAATTAAAAACCCAAATAAATAAGGTTCT